AGAGAAGGACTACTACTAATTACTACTAGACTACTAATAAATTACCAATAGCAGATTGAAAATATTTGTCAAATTCTAACACTAGCTGCCTTTAAAGGTGAAGACAGTCTTTTTGTTCCACTTGACCTGCTATAGCCTAGTTGTCTCTGCACAATAAACTGGGATAAGAGAAAATATGTCAACATCAAAAACACCACACGCACACAAAGTCAAATAACAAACAGCCTCATTTTCATGGCCGAGGTCACATACTGAGTTGCTGTGAGCTCTGATTTCAGAACAGTACTGCGGCATGAACCATGCAGCAAGAATAAAGGGGTTTTCTCAGTGGACATTAGTTAAAAAGACACTCCCTTCACTGTTTTAGATAAGTAATAGATATATTAGATGATAATGTTGACTAAGGGTGAGTGGCTTATGGCACTCTTTTGGTGTCTCGTGACACTCTAAATTGAACAAGCCTAAATCTTCAACAATGTAACTTTCATTGATTTACCTGTTTACCTATTACATACAGTATATATTACATATACATTTATATACAGTTTGTGTATTCAATCCTTGTGTTTGAGTTTATTCCTAGCATGCAAATTTGGGGTCAAATCTGTGTTTCAGACAAAATTAGACAAGTTGTAAAATTGCAAAACTGAGTGAACTGTGATATACTATGAATGAGTCTGAAATCCTAAATTGGACAATCAATATTTTCTACAACCTTCAGCCAAAAGCAAAGTATGACCTAAAATAACCCTAAACACACACTGAATCCCCGAGACCTCAAAATATAGCATCTAATATCAGGATCTAACTGATGGAATAAAAAAGTGCCAACTCCACAAAACATTATGAACTGAAAATCATTCTGACCCAGTTGGACTCAAAACATCTTTCCATCAACACCAAACAAGGCAAGCGGCTACTTATAAAGTCTGAGAACATGTAAGATGCATCATAAAAGCAGATTAAGAAATATCACCTCTACTGCTCAAATGAATGACAATAAATCTGATTATTCAGCTTCAAATATTGCTGAACAGTAGCTTAAT